CAATTTATGGGTTAACTACAGGGTGAGACAAAAAGGAAACTTAAACAAATATTAATATTAATGACCCCGTCATCAAGCATAGGATTCAAATCATATTTGACACAATTAAAGCTCTTTCAATGTTCTTTCTTTCAATATAAGTTTCATTGGTCACGATTTTATGGCCATTTTACAAAACATGTTCAAAATAAGAGACACGCCCGTTATGATTCCCAAAACTTTTATATTTGCTGCTATTTCAAAGATATTGTTTATACTTACAACAACTCTAGACTACCAATGGGCGAAGCAAGAGGGGGTCGTTGGGCTCTTGAGAGCCCCCCAAATTCGCCTCTAACCCCCCTTTCGTTATAAAGGGAACCTTGGTTCAACCCCCCGGGTTCACCCCCTTTTCTGCAAAATCAACTAGAAAAACCAGAAGTACTCGAAGGCAAACCCGATTTTACAAACTGGCTTTTAACGTACTACAGAAACCGGCTTCGGCAGTCAACAAGAAGCCGGCTTTTAAAAGCCGGCTTCTTAAGTACAACAGAAGCCAGCTTCTGGAGTCACCAATAAGCCGGCTTTTACAAACTGGCTTCTTACGTACCACAGAAGCCGCCTTCTGGAGTCACCAAAAAGCCGGCTTTTACAAACTACAAACTGGCTTCTTACGTACTACAGAAGCCGGCTTTTAGAGTCAACAAGAAGTCGGCTATTAAAAGCTGGCTTCTGGAATCACAAAGAAGTTTATAAATCGGTGCGCTGAATTTAACAAGCTTTTTAGGGACGACCTAGCGACTGGAAATGATGGAATACTGTCTCTCGATCATTTTGATGTGCATTATGCATCTTATTCTCGTACAACTTTTATGAAAATGAGAAAAAATGAAAAATTAATAAATCTTAACATAATTGTAGTTTTTGCAGAAAGTTATGTCATACCAAAATTATTGAAGGCAAATTACATTCTAAGCATAAATATCGATGAATAGGATCACGTTCATCAATTTACAATATATTATGCATCATATTTTCGTTTAATAAAAACGCACCGCGCATTTTTCAAAACTTGCTCCAAGTTTGAGCCAGTTTACAAATTCGTGCGCTCCATTTAACATAAGCTATTTTGGGACAAACTGGCGACTGGAAATGATGAAATTCTGTCTCCCGATCATTTTGATGTGCATTTTGCATCTTATCCTCGTACAACTTTTATGAAAATGAGAAAAAATGAAAAATTAATAAATCTTAACATAATTGTAGTTTTTGCAGAAAGTTATGTCATACCAAAATTATTGAAGGCAAATTACATTCTAAGCATAAATATCGATGAATGAGATCACGTTCATCAATTTACAATATATTATGCATCATATTTTCGTTTAATAAAAACGCACCGCGCATTTTTCAAAACTTGCTCCAAGTTTGAGCCAGTTTACAAATTCGTGCGCTCCATTTAACATAAGCTATTTTGGGACAATCTGGCGACTGGAAATGATGAAATACTGTCTCCCGATCATTTTGATGTGCATTATGCATCTTATTCTCGTATAATTTGCATGGAAATTAGAAGAAAATAAAAATACGTAAATCTTGATATATCTCAAGATATTTTGCAAGAAGTCATTTTCTGCCAAAACTATACGACGTGTAAATTGCATTGTAAGCATGAGTATCGATGAATTTGATCACGTTCATCTATTCAGAACAGATTATGCATTGTATTTCTGTTTAATAAAAACGCACCGTTTTTTTTCAAAACTGGCTCCAAGTTTGAGCCAGTTTACAAATCAGCTCGCTCCATTTAACACAAGCCATTTATGGACAAACTATGCAACTGAGAATCATGGGATTCTATCTTCCGATCATTTTGATGTGCATTATGCATCTTACAAATTGAACGTGAATTGGATCACGTTCATCAATTCAGAACAGATTATGCATTGTATTTCTGTTTAATAAAAACGCACCGTTCCCAGTTGCTAGATTGTCCTTAAATATATTTTTAAATGGACGAACGGATGGTAGGATGGACGCTTTCCTATATCCCCCCTAACTTCATTCGGTGGGATAACAAGCTCCAGGATGACAACGAACCCAACTCTCAGAAAGATGATTATTTCTATGCACACATTGAATCGCCCGTTCGACTAGCTATTTGATGAATTACACACTATATTTCGTAATAATAATTGGTTCATTTTAACCGTTTCCGTTGAACGAAGCCTCCCCCCATTTTCTTATAAAACAAACCCCCTGTTGAAGAAAATTAGACCCCCCTTAGTAAATTCTAGCTATGCCCCTTTAGGAGCATCAGAGAGTTGGAACAAGAGATAAGAAGGATCCATTACCCAATATCTGGGCAGTGAGCGTGTTATCAGAATTCACCCAATGCGTTCCATTTAGCCAACAGACACTAGACTGGCGTTTTGAGGATATTTTGTAAAATAACCATTCAATCGTGGTCATTTGAAATAGACCATGGCCAATAAAACTGAAAAGAATGAAAGGACATTAAACAAAGGATTGGCATCGATATGGTGAACTTTTTGAACACACGTTTCTCTTAAACCAGTCATCAAAAAATTCAAATATTTTACACATCGTCAATTTAATCGTCATTAAAAGGTTCGGAAAGACATTTTATTTCATTCTCAAGAATTGGTAGAAAGGAACAAAAACAATTGCACTAAAAACAAAAAAATGTTTACAAAAACAGTTATATAGAATATTTCTAAATAATTTTCGCATTAAATTGTTAAGGTTTATCTTGATTTTTATTTATTTTGAGGGATTTTGTTTTAATTTTTTGAATACTTTTTTAAAATTCAACCAAAAATTCCTTTGTATAAATATAGGCTTAATATTGAGAGGTCTAAAAATATGTTGTATATGCTATTTTGTTCAAACTCAATTCATTCTCAAGAATTTGTAGAAAGGAGCAAAAACAATTGCACTAAAAACAAAAAATGTAAACAGTTAAATAAAAATATATCAATAAGTTTCGCATTAAATCGTTGTCAATCAGTCAACATTCATAAAATACCGTTTTTTTACAGAATGTTTTCAATAATTGGTTTAAGAGAAAAACATTGTTTCAGAATTCAGTTCACCATATCGATACCTATCCTTTTTGATTGTGTCAAATACGATTTTTGACCAATGGCTAAAATGGATGGCTGAGTTATTAAAATGTTTTGTATCACTTTGTATATTTACCTAGATATTCATCTGAGTGTTTAGTTCTATCTTCTGTCCATGGATCAGTCAGCTTTTTTTCATACTGTTCTGTATAAGTTGTACTTCCGCCTGGTCTAACATCGTACACGCTTGTTGTTGCGCCAGCAGACTCATGGCCTCCCTGCAGTGTTGGTTTGAATAGTGATAGATACTCGTCCTCAGCCAATTGTTTTTCCTTATCGTACAATGCCATCATTTCCTTTTCTTTCTCGGGTGGATCTTCAGCTGGGCTTATAGATGGACCGGGTTGAATATTTATATCTAAAATTGATCGAGGTGTATAGAAGAATGCATGGGATTGACAAATTTGAAAAGATAAATATTAAAGCCTTTTTATTGTACCACTCCGTAACCTAACTCGATTTATACCATGCATTCCCTCGAGATGATTTCATGTTTAGATTTTCAAAGACGTGTTGAAAATAGAACGATTTGAATTAAACATTGTTCTAAATATATGGCAAACATCTAGAATGAAGTACATATTTGATATAAAACATGTAATTGTTTTTTTCTCATTTTGCCGAAGAAGTCTTACATATCAGCCATTAGAAAGTAAATTCAATATGATCATTTGAAGATTTATAAGAAAAAAAATTCCTATTCTCATTTTCAGTTGTAAACTGTGTTAAGATGTTCAATACAATAGGAAAGCTCTTCATTGTTCCCATAGGAGTTGATTAATCAATTTACTCTATGACTCAATATTGTAAAAAAAATACTTGTGAATGGAACACATACATTTTTGAAATGAAAATATCAGTACGTTAAGAAGCACTGATATGATGTTCAATGTGATTCGTACTACTTGCACAAGTTATTTATAAATTGTCCTATTTTGTCCATGTTTTCCAAATATTTGACACAGGGTAATAGGTAGACATTGACATCGGCTCATTTTATAACTTGAAAAAGTTTCATCGATAACTGAGTCATACAGAATTAATTATTTGAATGTTGCATTCCGTCTAAAAGATCTTACAACGGGCTATGATGTAGGTTAATTATGATCCAGACGAAAACGTTTATAAATGCCCGGAAATGTGTTTAACATATAATGGGACATTCCCTTTTTACAAGTGTTGATACTTTCATATTTGTTAATATATTCAAGCATTCATCTGGTTTGGAAGATGCCAAGTATTGTTTAAAATCTACTTCAGAAGAAAATGACACTATGGTATTTTGATATTCTATTGTTTCTTTCTAACGACAAACTACCCGGCAGCTCCACCATATGATATTCTTTTGTTTCTTTCTAATGACAATCCTTTGAGTCTTAAATACTATTTTCTAATAACTTTGGTTTCATGATATGACAATCTTTCTTGATTTTGGAATCTAAACCGAAATTTCTCATGTTATATCTCGCGTTTTACATCTGGCGCACATCTCCACGTGGTATCTCATATTACCAAAATGTTATCTAGATGATACATCTAGCGAAACATCCCTCCATAACCGTATTATAAATTCAGTGAGTACCGTAATTAAAGACAGCTTGAAGAAGACTCTGTTTGGAAACCGTGTATATTCTTCATTTCCGAAATTCATACTTCTTTGTAATATATATACGTATGAGGCATACATCTTTATCGGACGACAAACAAATTGATTGCCGTTAATTGAACTAATTATGTTTTACCCAGAATTATTAACTTCTAAGATTAATACAGTAACATTCAGAGAGAAGGTAACACCATTTAAAACTGTAAATGCATTCTAAATACCTGATTCAGATCTAGCACCATCATCACTTGTAGCCTTCACCCATTGTGCATTATCTTCCACCTTCACGCTGGATTCTGTTCGTAATGTCTTTCTCAAGAGCCCTTCAATGTTAGAATCTTCACCAAGACTTATCGAATCATCTTCTGTAACATATATATGGTCGTTATAAACAACTATTGGAAGATATGTAAAATATGTTGTGTGTCATGAAATGATCGTACCAGAGTAAACAAAGACAGAGAAACACAAGCACGCGGGTCCAACTATACTCGAAAACAGTTAATTGGAATTTTAGGCCTACCAGACATTTGAAAATCAAGGATTGTGAGTTTCATACTGCACCTGTTGGTACATTATTCTGTTATACAGTGCGTATTACTGCACCTGTTGGTACATTATTCTGTTATACAGTGCGTATCAAATAAACGCAACAGATTGTTATCTCGGAAAAACACATAACTAGTGATAACAGCATTGATTTCATTCAAAGCACCATAAAGCCATGTGTCTCCTTTTTACAATGATATATCATTCATTGATATATGGTCATGGTTAGGTGAGTAATCATTCCATTTGCCAAGTGGGCCAAAATTAGCTTGGGGCCAAGTTATAAACATCGCAAAAGTCATTGTACGGAGCCCGATGCAATATTGGAAGAAAACATAAAAGCAATGCTGACTGCATCCTTTTCATTCAATGAACCAAAAACCAAATTACTCCTCTTTGCAATGGAATATCATTCATTCACAGGGAGTAATCTATGGCCGAATAATCATTAATTTTGCAAAGTGGGGCAAAATTCAGCTCGGACCCAAGTTTTGCAAACAAGTTAACAAGTTAACAAGTTTTCCAACATTGCAAAAGTCAGTACAAGGGGCAAAGGGGCTATTGGAAGAAGGTAAGACAGGTGTGGCATAGACAGTAAAGTGTTCATTACTCATAGGCTTACTCTTGCAAGAATACATCCTACTACCCTCCAAATTGCCACCACGTCCTTGAACATAAAGATGCGCTCTTCTATCCACGTCATGCATGGTTCAGCCCTGACTCATCTGTGGGTTAAAGCAGAGAAAAGCAGCCCATGGGCAATTCTTTCTCGAGGTTTTGAAATATCTGGTGGAGGAATCGTGAGCAGAGATGCTCCTGATATAGCTCCAAAAGAAAAAGTCACAACAATTCAAGTCAGGGGAACTTCCATTGGCACTTAGCCCTTGCACTGATTTTTTCAATATCTAAAGCTTGGCCCAGAGCCGATTTTTACCCACTGTGCAAATGGAAAGATTTCTCACCCAACCATTACCACATGTGAATTAATGACAAATCATTGCAAAGAGGAGAGACGTGGCTTTATGGTACATTGAATGAAATTGATGTAGTCATCACTAGTTTTGTGATTTTACAAGATAACTACTTGTTGCGTTTTTTGATACGCCCTGTACATATAGGACTCCCTCCTTTTAGCAGCGTTTGTGTCCACAGTTGTAAGAAGCGCTTCTCACGATAAGCTGGAGACCCAACCGCCAAAAATAACGAGTTTTTGTGTACAGTTGGACCCCGGTGACAAGGCGTATTTTACACTAAGCAGTAGAAAATTATTACGTTTTCTATTCGTTATTTCAGATAGATATCGGATTTTTAGATAATAACGTTTACATCCTACAGGTCAGCCTTAAATAAGACACAATTTTAGTTTTGTTTGCCAAGTATACTTTATGATAAGAAAAAAAAACCATGGAAAAGTTCAATGTCGGAGAGCTTACTATATTCAATTGGGGTGATGGACTTAGACGGGACACCCTGTATATTAGAAATATTATTAGTAAAATAGAGATTTTGAATACATAGTAACTAACTAGCAGTTTTCACATCTGGGTGACCAGTGACTCCTTCTAATGCATCATCCCCAGTCTGGTCATCTTCCGTAATGGGCGATTTCCCTCCAAGCTTCTCTGTCTTTACTTTTGAAACATCTAGTTTCTCGAGGTCAGTGCTCATACGAGTTAAATCTTCATCGAACGTCAATGATGATGCTCCATCTTCTTGATAGAATGACCCATCTTGATCCTGCACTGCTGTAAAAATCGAAAGTAGCTCTATTAGAATGCCATTAAATGAACCCCGTAACTCTCCCATGTGTGATCACTGATCAATGTATTAGAGGTATAGTTGTTATTTTAGATTAGGACGACAATTCCTTTTCACTTTGTATGGAACCAAGATGTGCTTCTTATACATCACAGATTTTCAAAACTGCTATATATCTAATATAAGTATAAAATGAAATGAAATTGTTGGAAAAAACGTAGCTTTTACTTATTCTCTCCAATGAAGTGTATAAAACAATGTGTTTACAGTGTAAAGTATTGTACTTGATGATATGAAAATGTGAACGTTTGCAGCTGTAATGGCGGGAAATTCAAATATTTGAAAATCAGGAAATGTCCCTTTTTATTTCATTTTGTTTCTATCTGCAAGATGAGTTCAAAAGAATGTTGTTTTACCTTCGTCCCCTCGCAAACATTCTTGAACAAGCTTCTCTTCTATAGTTAGTGTTACGTCAATGTACGACCCACTATATTCCAGTCTAACTTCCTCAGGAATTATCTCTTTTACAAGTAACAAAGTCAAAGATCCACTTTTGAAATCCGTGAGCAATCTGGCTGCTTTTCGTCGGTCAACAACTTTTAGCTGGAGTACTATTGATTGCATATATGTGCTGCATAAGTGCATCCCATACATCACTGACAGGATTGTTGTTAAGGATTGATACAAGGTGGGAACTGATTTCAGAGCCCTGAAAATTAGCTGTTCCAAAAAACTAGCATCTATCCCTGTGTCCTGCTTCTGAGTTTCTCGTACACCAGCCTCAAGTCGTTCTTTGTCATTGTAAGACAGATGAATGTGCAAGGGACCTAAATGATGAAATAAATCACACGCGTGTGTAAAGAAAATTAAAAATCGTTTCTAATTTTATTGAAACTGTTCTTGAACATAACGTTATTTTGAGATTTCTTGGTGTTATGATACTACAGGGTCACTATACCTTTATACTTTTCAAGAATGTTGACAAAGTTAGAAATGTCGACGACGTCTCCGATTCGAACCTTGACACATCGTTTTCTGAATGCTATAAAACATTGATGAATAAAACTGAAAATGTACCGGCATGAGGAATCATTTATACAAGACCTCAAATAATTAACATACCAGAAACCTCGTCACAAGTGATCAGTAGCATTAACTGCAAATCGTGATTCCGAAAGATTTATAATTTAATTAATCAATACCTCATTAAAACCCCAAAATTAACAGTCAAAATGAATAATTTATAGTTGGTAAATAAGTAAAAACTGACAAAGCCAAAAATACAACAATTCACAATGGACATCAGGAGAAAGCAAAAGTATGACCGGTTTCGAAGTTTCGATCCCTGTGCCAAATGAAAATTGTAAATATTATACAGGGTGGTCAAAAACCGGTAACCCTGTTTTCCCAATATCTTTGTCATTTTAAGGAATCACTCCCTTATATTTGACACGTATGAACATCATTCAAATTTGTATTTGACTACCTTATTGCATGAACATCAGACTGATAGTCTTAATATTACAGCACTTTAAACAACGTGCTCTAGTTGGCCAACATCGTGCTGTTGGCAAATTTTTGCTGACATCTTCAAAGTTAAAGGACCCTATCCCCATGTGCCTATAGTATACACTAAACTGGGCATCTGTCTGTGTGAATATGCCTCTCCACTTCTTCATCGAGTGCTTGGCTCCCCCAGAAAACATACTTGTTAGAGTTTACCAGATTCTCAAGTTGGAAATAAAGTTCATCCGAACACCAGACCAGTTCACACAGCCAGAAAGTGGCCAGCTGGGGTATGTTGTTTAAAATGATGTGATATTGTGACTACCTGTCCGGTGGTCATGAAATATGGTGGGCTGGTAGGAAGTTGAATGATGTACAAATATGCCAAATATCAGGGAGTAATTCCCTCAAACGACAAAGATACGAGGAAAAATTAGGGTTGCCATTTTTTTACCACTTTTCAGACAACTTTGACCATGTTAGGAGGAAAACCGACCCTGAAATGAAATAAATAAATCGCCAAGTTTTTGTGTTGAATAAGTTTGTCTTCATCTTACTCATTTGTCTTAAGATACTTCTAATATTCCAATTTTGTCTGGAAATTATTTTAGTAGCAGCTTAAAGGGATAATAAGCTCACAAAATAATTTCCGTTCCAATGATTTTTCTGACTGAATACTGAATACTACTTCTATCTGGTATCTTAACTTGAGGCATGATTTGAACTCGCTCTTCCAATTATTAAAAACTTACATATTTTTGTTTATCTCATTTCAGGAAGATTTCAAAATTCATTCCTACTCATTCTAAGACAATTTAAGACAAATATAGTGTATTGACGGATCCAATACAAGTTTAATGTAGGAGAGCTAACCTAACCTGATGCTATCAAAAACAACTAGTTTTCGGTTTGTATTTTTACGTACTTCACCGTGCGACCGGTTGCAGTGATTGTGCGTTACACGTGGTTTGAACCCACGTGGCTGCACCCAGCCAGTATCCAATCCATATTGTCGATATTGTATGACGTGTTTAATCAAGCTCTTCTTCGGTAAAATTTATAGAGCGCTTACTATCGGCCATGTTCTCTAGGCTACATGTACTATATCTAGGTCTTTTGGAAGCGTTTTCGTTTAGGACTACAGCCCCAATAGAAAGCATATCTATATTTATTTCAATGGCGTAGCGTCATATACGCATAAACGCCATGGCGTACTCTCAAAATTTAGCGAAAAGTTGATTTTTAGATTAAATTGGCCCAAACTTTAAAATTAGTCCATATTAAGTCAGAATTTCGTATTTTAAAACGCCCAAAAACGCTTCAACTGCAATCTCATTTTCAAATTATCTTATGGAGAGAACCCACCCCCACACCCCCCTCAAAGATTGTTCGCTTCGCTCACCCGTGGCGTACACTCACAAAATATCCACGCTACGCCACTGTATTTTATGCACTACCTTAGCAATAATAGATTAATACTGTAGCTACAATGTACTATAATAGTGTCATCTTCTTAAAGTGAAACTTACACAGGTACAGGCACGTGCACGAGGTAATCACTGCGACTGGTCGCAGGAACATCGCAGATTTGTTAATGAATAGGTCGCGGTCGCAGTCACTGCACCGTGCCATGGCAAACCCTATGGCACCGTGCCATGGCAGCCAATATAGCATAGGCTTTGGCTTCCCTTGTACCATTGGCTCTAGGACATAATTTGGAGCCAAATTCTTGCAGATTTATATGCCTCGTGAGAGATCACCACAAAATCCGAGTTCACCACAAAATCCGATTTCAAAAATGGCTACCGGCGTTAAAATGGCCACCTTTTTAGTGTCAATTTTCTTTTCTTCAGACACAACATTTAAAACTGAGAAATGATTATGTTTTAAACGCCAAATCTTTCTAACAATCAGATTGCAACCATTTTGAAAAATGGTAGCCATTAAACACTATACTAATTTCCGATTTTTGCCTGGAACATCATGATTTTTTACATATTTGCAATTGATATGTGAATACTAACTAGCATGATACAATATCCAATGATCATTTGGCTAGTGAGTGACCATTTTTATGCTTGTTATGACACAACAGAGCCATTTTTCAAAATGGCCACTCACTAGCGAAATTTGTCATTAGAAAATGTATCAATTATGCTTATAAGTAAACACATAATCAAATATGAACAAAAATAGTTCGACTACTTTTTCAGATACAGCAATGAACGTAAAATAGTGTACCACCATTTTTCAAGATGGTGGCCATGTTTTTTTAAATAATCAGATATTTAACTTGATCAATATTTTTTATAATTTTCTGGCAATTTCTGCATTTAAAACATAATAACAAATACGGTTTTATATGTTGTGCCTAAAATACAGTAAAATTAACACTAAAAAGGCCGCCCTTTGAAAATTTTTCAAAAATGGCTTTTAAGAAAACTTGTACTCGCATGATGCATATAAATCTGCAAGAATTTGACTCAAAATAGTGTCCTAGAGCACGGGAGGTGCCATAGTCTATGTCATAATTGTTTCTCTACAATACTATATAAATAAATATATTACTAATAAATATCCAATTGTAATCAAATATATCGGCTGTCCCAAAATAGTTTGACAAGTATTTTCCCAGTAGTGGAGAACCCAGCAAATTCTTAGAACATTTTTATTGAGAAACATTATGGTATCATAATTAAGTGCTATAAAAATATGATGTGAGTGCTCATTAAAGGTCATATTTTGTGTCTTTACCTAGCGATTGCTGTTTTTCTGCTCTGACTTTATCTGCAAGGTCCACTTTTTTGATCTCTTCGAGTGCGTCTGTTAGGATTCTTATGTTGTCAGCATCTCTCCTCTGTCCTTGCCTCCATTTGTTTAATATCAAGAACACCCATTGACGAGAATCGTGTGGGTTGCTTGTTTTAACGGCTTGGACTTCTGCGTATTTGAAGCCAAGTGTCATTCCAAGGTCAAAGTACAACTCTGCCTCTATTTCTTTTGCAATTTTGTACAGGTAGTTCTCATCTAGATCATCTAAATAGAAAGTAAAATATTATATTATAAAATCGACGCCTCTGGATCGCTATTGGATCCTTACATTGTTTTTCAAGTTGACTCTGTTTAATTCACATGCAGTCTAGTCTGTTACAAAGTCATCAAAAATATTAAAGACCCTGCGACATCAACGGCCGGTGTGAACGATATTATGGTCCCCCGGGGATTATGGTCCCCTTTTGAAAGGCCCTTACTGGCCCTGATTGTGTATATCATAATAAGGGAAGGAGGTCACCATATAAATTAATGGAGAGTAGGACCATAAATTAATAGGATCTCCTACCCTTTTACACCTGTGTAAAACGGTAGGAGGTCCTATGAAATTATGGTCCTACTCTCCATTGATTTATTTGGTGACCTAAATACAACTCTTATTATCTTATACACAATCAGGGTCAGTAAGGGCCGTTTAGAAAGGGGACCATAATCCCCAGGGGACCATAATTTCTTTCACACCGACACTGAACACAATGCTTCGTTGTAAAATATATCACAAGTTGATTTTTTTGAAAGCAAGACCGAAGAGGTTTAGGAAGGAAAATGCACAAGTGATATATGTTACAAACAAAACATTGAGTTCAGTGCTAAATCCCTTTCACACAAAATATGAAAATAACAAAGGCTGTCTTTTGCGCTATTAAATACATTACCAGAGATCTCGAGTGTTCCCTCAGACTCATCACGTCCACTCGCTACTTCCTCCTTGTGTCGATCATCATTCTTGTTTGGTACCTCCGCCATGTCAGTTTATTGAGTTACCGCGATGGTCCACTGCTTCTATATCATTTTGCATCTGTTATCGTTCGTCTCCACGCCATTGTTGTTGAAGCATCATTCATGTCTGAACTTGCAATACTGTTCCGGGATAGCTCATTGCAGGTCACATGTTATCTTTTACAGAATATAAAAATAATCAACTTAACATTCTAACAAAATCTAATTTGAAGAATTATGGAATTGAATCGAAATGAATAACGGATTAATAAGGAAGCCATTGGATTTTTGAACATAGAATTTTGGGGACACTACGAGGCATTTTAAGACATCGAATATATCACAAGTTACTTTTTTAAACTTATTTTGCGCAACGGGTTTTGTATATAACAACTTATCTCTTTAAAAGAGTATTCATCTATTGATAACCTCTAATCGCACTTCAATCACTTGATCGTGTTCGTATCATGATTTACAACGCTTCAAAGGTTACTCGTAAACTTAAAGTTCAACTTAAAGTTCTGTAGTTAGTTATCTTGTGATGACCTAGATTTTGTGCAAGTTTGTTTGATTTACACTCATTTTGGTTTATAAGCGAAATCGTTGGTTTATTGGTTTCCGAAGCTCCTTTTCGTCATTCGCAATGACACTTCTCCAGCTTGACCATTAGGATTGAGATGCAAAGTTCACATTAAGGCAGCGTTTTTGAACTACCCGCGGGCGAGTGCATTGCAAAAATATACAATAAGTATTCCCCCTAGGTATCACGAAAAAGAACAAATGAGCCCATGCGTTGCAAATTACATGCTTATACGTTTTCAACAAAAGCAGTTCATCCAAGCGCACTTACACCACTAAATACGATGTGTCAAACTTGTCGGGTAACAGCGTATGTCAACCGCGTCGGCTTGTTGCTGGTGCACCACATGAGTTCGATTGCAATAAACCGTGATGTCTTTCAAAAGAATTATGTGAGTGTTACACACCAGTCACATTTGTCGCACGGCGGCCGCAGGTCGACCGCAGATCAATTAAATCGGTGAATTTCTGCGGCGAGCGTAGAAAAACTACGCTCGCCTTGCAGCCTCCGTACGGCGAATGCAAATTTTTACAGGCCGCAGGGAAGGCGTAAAAATTATAACTCGGAGTTATAATATTTGTTCATTTCTGAGGTCCCCATAGAAATCAACTGGCTCAACAAGATTGAATCGTTGTCAATGTTTCACGATCACTTTTCATTTGATATTACATCAGCACTATGATAACATTTATAAATTGTCTTGATGTAAATAAAATGAAAAAAAAGTATTATTTATCAACAAAAATTTAAAATTCACCGTGCGGCTGCCGTGGAAAATGTGACTGCAAAAGTATGAGAGCGCAGAAATTCTGCGGCGAGCGTAGAAATGTTACTGGCCGCAGAAATGATAGACCGCAAGGTCGCCGTAGGAAATGTGACTGGGGTGTTAGTGCGCTCGGTTGTTGTTGTTGTTGTTGCTGTTGTTGTTGTTGTTGTTGTTGTTGTTGTTGTTGTTGCTGTTGTTGTTGTTGTTGTTGTTGTTGTTGTTGTTGTTGTTGTTGTTGTTGTTGTTGTTGTTGTTGTTGTTGTTGTTGTTGTGGTTGTTGTTGTTGTTGTTGTTGTCAGTTATATTAATTATTATTAAATGTCATATTCCTCACTCTCTGGTTGGTAGCTACGCTTGACTAAAAATAGCAAGCGATATTCAACGGATGTCATATTATACAAATGTTTAATTCGATTGAGGTGATTCCTGTGCATCTTTTACAAGTGATGTTCCACGAAGCTCGAAGAGCAAGTGAAGTATCATCTTGTGAAAGTGTCACAGGTATTCACCGGAAATAAAATTGAATATTTGTTTTATTATTTACTGTTATATCACTCACCTTAATTGAAAAACAAACAATTGATGTACAATTTATCATAACAATTTTCTCCCGGGGATATATACAATTGAAATTACACTGGATTAAGTTGTGACTGATGAATATCATTTGATATTCAATGGAAGTCACATGATTTCCATTGAATATCGCTTGCTATTTTAAGTCACGTATAAGGACATGGGCCAATCAGGAAGTAAGGCACATGACAGTGATATGATAACATTTGTTGTCCAATGATTCGAGTGAAATACAGAAAATATTGTTCCCGAGAAAGTCTGTATTTCACAAGGCGCCAGCCGAAAGAAATGATATTCTTCAGTCACGACTTAGGTTAGTGTAATTTTAATTTTAAATATCCCCGGGAGTACAGTGTTATCATTAATATCGGCATCAATAGTTTGTTATTCCATAAGTGAGAGTGAGGAATAAAACAGTGGACAAATCAGGCATTAACATGACAAGTGTTACCAC